CTGCATTTCTAAAAGCTGGTTTCTGCTGAGTTGTCTAGCTGAGGTGGTTGTGGTGGTAAAGTTTCTGCCTTTTTAAAGATCTTCTCCATTATTCCTCTGGGAAAATATATTCTGCCTTTTTAATATTTCCCAAAATATTTCTTTCTCTGGATTCTTCCCACAATCCCCCCCCTTTTGTGCCATAAGGGTGTGGATGACACCCTTTTACTGGCACAAGATTAAAATTGATCTGGTCAGGGAGACTTGGTAAACAAACTTTTAAACTGTTAATGCAAAAAAAAAAAAAAAGGGAAGACACTAATAGAGGCAGCAGAAAAAGATCCCTGCAGTGGCTCCCAAAAGGGGAGCTTCCAACCCATAAAGTTCTAAAAGTCAGGGCAAAAGTTCTGTTAGATGGAAAAGAAATTTAGTGTCCAATATTCAGTGCTAATTATTTCCAAATGTTGGATGTCACTTTTAACTTCCAGTCAGGTTTGCACATTCCTCCAAAATTCTTCACAGCGATGTTTTTCCTCAATACATAACCACTGGCTGCCCATTTTCAAGGGTTGTTTCCTGAGCCTGCCTTAGCTCTTAGTTCAGTTCATCCAGGTTTGTGATGTCCAATTGAGGTTAGCCAGTGTGCAAGCCAATCTATTAAATTGCACACAGTGAGCCCTAGGACTCTCACTCTGTCCACCAGTGCAACATATTCAGGGCTTGGGTTTTGGAGATCTCTTTCCTGCTACCTCCTCAGTGCGAGCATATGAATTGCAAATCACCTGAGGGGGCCTGGTTCCCTCCCCCTTGGAATTTGCAGTGCCACAGAGCAAGAATCAGCTTGGGGAGCTTTACTGAAGGTAGGTGAAGGGGATAGACTCAGTGTGATTCCAATGGTGTGTGTGTGTGTGTGTGTGCGTATGCAGCTACTAATACAAAACAGGCAATGCTGTACAAGCATCCTGGACAATTTTCCCTCCCACCAGACAGAAGTCCAAGGTGTTCAGTACTTGCTATGCCAGCTATTCCCAAATGCCATCTCTCCATAAATACATTCAACTGGCTTATTACAATACAAATGGGGCAATGAGTTTCTGCCCCCCATAGACTTTCCTAGTTTTCTTCTGAGGCTTCATGTGAGGACCAATGGTTCCAGGACTCCTTCCTCTCTCTGCAGCTTTCATGGGCATCTGGGTGATATAGCACTGGGAAGATCTGTTCCACTCTGGTTGCATAGTGACTTTTTAGTGGATGGTTGGATTCAAACTCAATTCCATTGCTCAAATGAATGGAGGCAGCTTCTGGGTCAGTGTGCTTTGCTTCCCAAAAGGTTACTGAGTAATCTGGGCTGGGCTGAAAGACATGAGAACAAGATCTCCTCCCCCCTTTCTGGGTGGACTCTCCCAGTTGAGGCTTTGCTGATCAGACAAAGGCATGGAGAACAGAAGATAAGAAATGGAGAAGTAGATGGGGGGAGGGGGTAGCTTACAGGCAGAGTTTGAAACGACATTACTGCAGTTGTTAAAGAAACAGATAAGCAGACAAAATGGTGACACCACAGATGAGGACAAAAGAGAGCTGGATTCTGGTAAGAGAACAACAAATGAAAGGTCTCACTTCTGAAATTGAATATTTGCAACATGTTAGAGAGGACTTAAGGACTTGCAGCTTGAAAATGCTGGGCAGCTTGAGAATGCTGAAAGCTCCAAATAATTTTAAAAGCCTAATATTTTAAGGTGTGCAATTTGCCAGAGGCAGGAGAATCTACCTTTAACATTTATTCTAAATAGACCACATTATTTTAGAGATTAAAAAATGCTTATATGTTCCAGGATTAGTTTCATAGTAGTTTCACTGATTAGCGATAGGATAAGAAAGGTAACTTAAGAAGATTATTTCCCTACACAAGCAAACTTGAGCTCATGAGGCTCGTATGGGCGGACATACATCATGTTTCAGGATGATAGACAGATAAAACCCATTTACAACACATACAGAAAATGCACAAATAAACTTTTTCCTCTAAATGAACTTAAAACATTCCCTCCTAACAAGAGAAAGCAAAATGGAACTCAATTTTCTTCACTTCACTCTATTTTGTTGGCCAGATAAAATAAGAGTGAAGGTATTTTCTTTTTGGTGGCTTATTTTAAGCAGAATTTCTAGCAGAATTTTAAAATTCTTTTATCTTTGGATTAGAGACAATTAACAGTCACATTTACCTCACACACAAAGACTTTGACATAATAATAATAATAATAATAAAGTTGGAAGGGACCTTGGAGGTCATCGAGTCCAACCCCCTGCCCAGGCAGGAACCCTACACCATTTCAGACAAACGGCTGTCCAGTCTCTTCTTAAAAACTTCCAGTGTTGGAGCATTCACCACTTCTGGAGGCAGGTTATTCCACTGGTTAATTGTTCTAACTGTCAGGAAGTTT